GAACAGTGCGATAAGCTGATGGTCATTTTTATTGCTCACTGTGAAATATCGTTGCGAAATTATTGAGATGTTTTGTTTGGAATAGGATGGAAGTTGCGTGTGAGGATGGAATGGGAATGAAATTACGTGTGTGCTTTAAGGGAGGATTTGAATTTTTGTTGTTTTAAGGAGGTGAAAAGACGTGCGGAAGCGGGACGTAAGAAGGCAGTGGACCGAATTGCCGCGATCAACGAAGAGTTAAACGAGACGCGTCGTGAGAAGGATCGTTTACAGCAGACTGAAGTGGATTACAAGCGATTGTTACAGGAGAGGGAACGTCTCGTCAAGAAAATCGACTATCTGACGGTATTTATACGCCCTTGTTCTTTGCTAAAATTCGGTCGCGAGCAAAAATTCAATCCGTTTTATGTGAATCAATGCGAAATGCAACTTCAATTCACTTGAGTATTTTTGAAAAAAATGCGAATAAGAGATTAGTAACCTGATTTTGTAACTTCAATTCACTTGAAAAAAAATCAATTTTTGAAAAAAATGCGAATAAGAGGTTAGTAACCTGATTGAATCACTGCGAAAGTTCCCCAGAAAATGCGTTATAATGTTTTGTGGAATATATCGAAATGAATTGTCAAGTGAGAAGGAAATTTTGCAATCGTGATCGATGTTTGCATTTGAATTTAATGAATTTGACGGAGATGTTCATTTGATGTTTTCAGGAAGAATTACATGAAACACATACGGATTATCGTGGAGAGCTGGCGAAGTTAGCGAAGCAAATGAACGAAACGAAACGCAATGACGCATCCGGAAGTGAATCGTCGGCGATTAAGGTTCGGTCGATTTTCATTAGAATTCACTTGAAACTCATTCCGCACAGCAAGGCATCATTCAGCGACAGCAATCGCTCAGTTGACACCCTCCTTGTTTTCAAAAAGAAACATTGTTTCGATTGCCTTTTGAAGAAGCTGAAGCCGATAATGAGAGAGGAGGTGCGAAGTCGGCTCTGAAATCACCCAAATGGCTTCGCATATTTTAGATTATTCCGACAATTTCGTTTGGCTGAACTAATAACATTGCTTTCTGCCGTTCCCCGAGCGAATTGCTTGTTGTGGTTTATCGTAAGAATATTGTGTATGGTATAAGGGTTGAATTGATTTTAAGGTTGAAGCATTGGAAACGGAAAAACGTCAAATGGAGAGTACACTGAGATCAATGGAACGTCAGGTGGAACAGTCCAAGAATGAATGCGATTTACGTGACAACGAGGTGATGATTACTCGAACACTTCATTGCGGAATAACTAATGAAAAATTCGATATTAATGAAAAAATGAAATTTTAATTAATGATATATATGAAAAATTCTCAATGCATACCTTCTATATCTGTTGTTCCATGTAAATGAAGTTAAAATGATTCGATTCGTAAATGAGCCGCCACGTTTTGCAGGTGAAAGAGCTTCGCGCTTCACAGTGTGAACTTATCGAAGAAAACGCTAAATTACGTGATGGTCTTGCAATAGCTATTGCAAAGGCTGAGAGATTCAAGGAAGACTTGGAAATTGTGAAGGATGCGAATAGTGCGTTGAATGAGGATTTAAAGAAATTACGAGATGATAAGGTGCGTCTTTTAACAATTACAAGCGCCTTTCTTCTATTCATTTTTGGATGTTCCTCTTGTGGGTGTCAATAACCAATAGGTTTTTTGAAAGATTTGTACATTTTCTATTCGTTCACCATTCGAATGATGGATTGTGTCCATTGAGCTTTATTTTTAATTATGTTCTCAACATTGTACTATTAGTATTGTTAATGTTTTGGATTGAAAAAAAAGAGCAACAAAAATTTCAGAGTAACGCAACTGTACGAGCGGATACGTTACAACAAGCAATAGGTGAAAAGGAGCGATTAGTCGCATACTTACAGAGTCAGTTGCACATGCGTTCAACAACCAAAATCAAACATTCTT